GGTTACTTGGAAGCGCGTGCAACCCACAGCTAACCGATGTGACGACCGGCCCGAAAGAGCTTATGCGACTGCTTTCCCTTGCAATCAATCTGACACACTTACCCAAACCTCCGTATGCTTAGTAGTTGACCCTTTTTTCACAGCACTTATTGCTATCGGGGAAATACATCAAACCCCGCTACCACTAAAAACGGGAGATCAACCTTATCGTTCCGTGGGGGAACGATTGCCACGGCAATTGAAGTGAGGTGGCATGATCAACGTACACCTAACAGCAAACAGCATTCGACCAGACCATTCATACAAAAAGACAATGGACTTGCAGCGTCTTACCCCGGAACTACACTCAAGCAGCGTTACTGAGCGAACAGTGGAGTTAAATAAGTCCGTAGTCGGGAAGGCTCAAGTGATTACCGTACGACCGAAAAGCCAAATAAGCAAAAACAGCAACCTAAACGGAACAGAACACCATAAACTGTGGAATGCGAAAATTTTCTTGCGGAAACCGGTCGGTACCATTAAATGGCGAGTAATACGGGCAAAAGTATCACTAGTGAAATGCAATATTGATATATGACATTAACAGTTCTATTTAGATTAAATAAACGGTGACGCAATCTGTGCCAGTAGAAAAAACAAAGAGTACGCTCACCATCGGCATCCTCCTCCTCTCCGTTGGCAGCTTGATCCGAAGGTTCTTCATTATCGTTTCTGAAAATCATGGAGAGACTCTATGTGCATCTTACTGATCAAGTCCATCCAAATACACAAGATTTGGAATAAGCGCGAACACTTTTTTTCGGTAGTTCTCAGAGCTCGACACAGCGCAGTCGAACAGATCTAGCTTCTTGAGTGAGGACAGCTTCGCCAAAGGAGTCAGCTCATCAAGTGAGTCCAGTTTGTTTGCGCTCAAGTTGAGCTGTTCAAGATTCGGGCAGCGGAGGAGCCCTTCCAGTCCACCGGACAAGCTGTTACTGGATAAGTCCAGCTGAAATACGTTAAAAAGTTATATTTTAGCTTACCATTTTCAAAGATGGAAGTTCCGGCAATCCGTCCAGTTTCTCCAGGCCGACAGTGGACAGACTTAACAGCTCTAAAGACGAGTAATCATTGGTTAACCCTTCTATATCTGTTGCCTTCGCATGGTCCAGGTGCAACTCGGTTACCTAACAAAAAAAAATAAACAAAAAAAAGACGAACCTCTGATGGTTTCAGCTTTCCCTGCTCCAACTGAATTCGCTGAGAGAGCGACATGTAAGTCATTATCAAAATAAATCAGCAGGAAAGGACCGCCGGCTTTTCAAAATATGGCTACCGCGCAACAGGAAATTCAGGCGACCTTCATCAAACAACATCAGTTCAGCTTAGGTCAGGTCAGGTCAGGTTGCACAGGACTGATAGTGGCCACAGGCCAATCACGTGTCCAGAATTCCTTCAGTGGTATGCCCTCGAGTGTGCATCCACCTCTGCGATTGATCGGTTTCTCCTTCTATCTGCAAACAGAGAGAAAGAGAGACTTTACTTCTCGCTGTGTCGGCGAGAGACCTTTGTTGATGAAGCGTTCCACATTACGCAAAAACAATTTACGCACCCAACATTCTATGTCAGGGAAAAGCTCCAATCATCTGGCGTCCAGAGCTTATTTAAAGGCCTGGACACTTGACTGCATAATCAGTTCCCACGGTAGCTTATTCCAATTATCCACTACCCTATTAATAAAGAAACGTGCTCGAAAATTCAGCACAGAAAGCTGTTTCATGAGTTTGAGCTCATGT